ATGGCCCTATGGAACTGTTTACGGGACACCCAACTGACAGCAGATTATAAAAATGATGCTGGATGTCCATTTCTGTCTCACAAACTCTTCCAGTACTTTTTGAGTTACTTCTTTTACCCTTTCGTTTGAAAGAAACAACAAAAACTGCAGCTTAACATTACCAATGCAACTTTTAAACGGGAACTTGGTTTAAAACTTTGTTTGATATTTGATTCTTAATGAAAGTTCTCGAATAAATTTTCGAATCTAATGCTATTGTTTTATCTACCTAATCGTTGCAAGAAACTTGTGATACACGAGCCTCTCAGCGCCTAACTTATGTGTTCAGGCTTCAGTGTCTAGAAGCAGGGGATCACCAAAACCTCCAAGCAAGAACCTAGGTATGTTAACAATAAGAGAGGAAACAGAAATTAATAAATCATAGTACGATACTGTCCCTAAGAATAGATCCAGTTGCCTCTCAAAGGACTCCTGGGAAGTCGCTTGGACTAGCTCGGCGGGCAGCGAATTCCAGCATTTGATAACTCCTAAGGAGTAGGAGTTGCGTCTACAATCCGTCCTGTTATGTTGTGTCTCCAGTTTCTGGGTGTTACGACTTAGGTTAGTGTTAGAACTAAGCTTAAGTAGGTGTTTAAAAGAATGTCCAGAAGTGTTAAGGATAGTGTTAGCCATTAGGTCACCTCTAAAACGTCTATACTCTAATAGGTAGAGGTTAAGTGAATGAAGGCGTTCTTCATAAGGTGATTTGGTGCATATCTACGTCAATTTCTTGCGAAACCTACAGACTCGGGTCCTTTCACAACTTATTCTAGCCACGATGAGTTGTCAGGTCAGCTGGTGGATGGACACGCATAACACATCCTAACCGTTTCTGCGTCTAATCTCATAGCTTCTTATTCAAATCTCATATGATAAGCAAGTAATGCTTCTACCGACACCAATGGAACACGGGTAACTCAAAGGCACCCTGTATGGTACCTTACATTGGTCTACGCACTCACTTAGCTCTTCAGTGAGAATATTACCACAGTTATGATAAAAATCCAATGAACCCCCTACCTTCATCAAAACAAATAAGTCTGTATTTGCTGCATATAGCAATTTTATTTTTCTGAAGTAAGATATAACAGTTAGAATTAGAGTAAAATGGCAGTATACAGTAGATGCAAGTGTTACATGTCTTCATCGATTAACTGAAATAGAGAATACGGATATTAGCTTAACAGGCTTATTTAGAAATACTATTATCTACTTTGAAGTTTTTGCGTGAGAAAGTTATACTGGAACTACGAATAATGTAGTAATCTAGTCTCCCAGGGCGTACGAAGCACTCAAACTGGAAGACAGTTGTCCAAAAATAATTCGAATGTGAAGGTAAAAATTTGCAGGTACTTTTCATCGTAAGGGTGAACATATTAGATAACGGTTGACATCATACCGTGAAAAAACACAAATTTGCGAGTGGTGAAACATGATCTGTAAGAAAGTGAGTTTAACAACAGTTAATTACCTTTTTACTTTCTGATCATGACCCTTCGGCTTCCTTTTAGCGTCAAAACAGCAAACATACACTACACACTGATAGCAGATTTCCTGCTCTTCAATGTTAAGCTTGCTTTAACGCACTACGTAACGTGTACAACCCCTCTATTAGTGCTATATGACGTTTTTTATAACAAACCCCGTGCAATAACTTGGTAGTATCCGTGACTTCGTCTATGGTTGTCGGAAGTCTGGGTCCTTTCAAAAACAATACTGATATCCCCTACTGCTGAGCGATTGGTATTAGTTTGACTCGTTGGTGGGATAGTGTTGTCCATAATACTGAAGAAAATTACAAACCGGGGATTATTTCCTTTCATTTTGCCGATAACATCATAAAGCACAGTTAGAAACGAACATGCGGACAGTCAGTCACAGGCGACAGCAACAACTATTTTCGCTAAAAAAACGAACTTCAGCTTTGGATATCTAAAAAACAAGTCAATACAAAACGGATTACCATTTTAAAACATAAGACTAGCCAGCTTGGCTGAAGAAATACATTGACTTGAGTAGAAGCAGCAAAAACCCAAAAAACAATGCTGATTCGAAGTAAATTTCACACCATCATATAGAACTTCACATTAACTGTGGCATTTTAGCACATTGAAACATTAAATTATATAACTACACAAAAGAAATAGCTGAAAGAAGCACAGAACGAAGAAAGCCGACAGCCATTGCTTACAAAGATAGCGGATATAATAATTCCCGCCTCATTCTGATTGGTTGCTAAGCGGAAGGGCACATTTACGAAATTGAGTTGCGTTTAATTCCAGCCTCTGTACAAGATTCTTATTTGGATTCCTGATAAGTTGTTGTATATGAAAATGAAGTTGACGTATTTCAGTGGTATAGTATTAATTTGATAACACGTGGATAAGTGAACAGTCATTGTATGATAGTAAGATTGAAAATATCTTATAAATATAGGATTTTCAATGGAAATTGAATGGATTATTTGTAGTAAGTTTCTTGTAGTCATTGTTATTGAATTCACTTTTCTGTACCTGATGATTTCTTTCAGGATGACATTTAAAAGTAACATTTTCGATTGTAAACATCTCAGTCTTCGACTGCCTATTTAAAACAAAGCATTGTGTATAAAGGCACTTGTAATCCATTAAATACAATTATAATGCATATCCTTTAAATGCTAGTGTGGTGTGAGCTACTTATATTGATATAAGTAGTATATAAGGTGCATCAAAAGAACGTAATATCTGGCAGCAGAAGATGGTGAAGATCAAGAAAGTTAGAGCGAGAACACAATGGAATTTGTAAGAAAACGCATGAACAATGGAATGGGAGACAATGGGTTGGTGTTTGCAACAGAAGCAGTCCAGTTTGATTTGATGCATGATTATTTTGCAAATTGACGATTTACTATATGGTATTCAGATTTTGTTGAGATAGTCTGTAATTGTTGTGCTAAATACATCCGTTTGTCCCCACACGTGTTCTTGTTCACTACACTAGTACCAGTTCGCGTGCAGATAAAACAACTAAAATTCTGGATCAAAGACATCATATTTAATCTCCTTTCCAATCTTGACCACCCCATATCCACCAAGTCAATGATCATCATAATTGCAAGATGACCAATTTCTTTCAGAATGTATATTCTCTTGTTTATCATATTTTCACAAGTTACATTAGTCTGATTCGATCATTTTGTTTTTTTTCATTGAAGCACTAGATCTTGCGCTAATGCAATTCATTGTCTCTGAAATGATTTTCATTTATTTCATCCATTAAAAAATCTATTGAACGACGAACAGGGTTACTAATTACCCATTACTTCACTGACGTTTTTGAAAACTATTTGTTAAATAACTTCACAGAAATTATTATTTAATTATGTATTTGCTAGGTGTGGACCCAATCAACAACGGTGGATTCACAGAAGTGAACATGAATGCTGACTTGGTGTAATGAGGTCTGCAGCATCGATTCAAGGACACTTCTCCTGACCCAGATATGCTTCATTCTACAATACTATGAGAAGTGATTTTAATCTTGGTGACACTTGTTGGTATGCTGTTTTCAAATTCGCTAAGTCGAGGCACGGTCCTCGATAATTGGATGCTGGTTCACATTGATCCGTCTTTAGAAGGAGGCAGACGCAGCAAACCTTTGGGCCACATGCCGGTAGCACTTCTCCTGACACCCTCAAAAGTTATAGAGTCACGGATATAAAATGGTCAACATGATCACTTAACACCCATAAATTTCTTTTGATTTCTGCAGCGCGGTTTCAGAAAGGGCAATCAACTTGCTAACCACGTTTAGCTGAGGGCAAACCGTCCTTGACCCGAAGGAGAAGGTTGGTGTCATATGCCTTGGTTTATCGAAAAGCTTTTGATACTGTTAGTCATTTATGTTATCCCTAGAAGCTCAAACGAGTTGGCATCAAGTCGCCATTAATTTACTGGCTTATTTCATATCAAAATAACCGACTTTTTAGGGTAAGATCAAACTTCACTTTTTCTTGGGCTACAAATGTCTTAATGAGGTTCCCGAGAATGCAGTACTCAGAACCCTTCTTTTTTGATTTACATAAATAAACATCCTCAGTAAGTGTCGCCAGATTTATTACTTTTTGCTGATGATGTCGGACTCTGGACAGCAGTTTGCAATCGAAGTAGTAAACTCGTATTTCAGTGGATCTAACTCCATTTTAAAGTTGGGTAGATGACGACGACCTTCCTTTCAGCACATCAAAGTGTAAAGTAGTCCATCTGAAATATGTAGGCTACGAATACAACTTAGATAACAACCCTCGTGCGGCATCACTAGTTGAAAAAAGATCTAGAGGTGTTGGTAACTTATGATCTGAGGTCTTACGCTAGCTGCAGCACAAGCGTCTTAAAAGAAAACCTTGCACTGGTGACGTTGAAGAGCATTCTTGGCTATGTCGACAGAACTTTCCGCATAATCTTCAACAGCTTTATTCAACCATATTTAGAAAATGAAAATATAATGTTTCCTCACTCACTCCAAAAGGATAAGAACACGCTGGAGCGTGTTCAGAGGCGAGACATAAAATCATTTTGAGGACTGATATTTAAACGTTATGAAGAGCGCCTCAAATCGCTAAATCTTCACTTATTAGAGTACAGGCGTCTTATAGGTTACCTTCTAATGACTAATAGTGTTCTAAACACCTCTGAGTATCCCCTTTAACACCCACTTAGGCTTAGCCACCACACAAACATTAGGAATAACATCCATAAACTGGAGACTTAATACAGCTGATTGAACTATAGGCACAGAATCTAAAACAAAGTTGTTACAACACAATACCAGAAGTTAAAACTACGCATCCAAAAAACATACTAATGAGAAAAGAAATAAATCAGAGAAATATCTATCTCTAATCATTTGAGCTAAAACTATCGTCTTAGCTTTGAAATATAAAGGCGGTCATTATATGTAAGTCGTAACTGGTCGAGGTCATGAATGTTGTTAAGATAAATGGCGTGAAGGTTTACAATCTAACAGCGAATCGTTCCCTTCCAGAATGGGCTTCGAAGTCTGAAAAGCGTAAAAGGAAGTCAGATATGGAATTAAGTCGGCGCATTGAACTTATTCAGGAATTAGAAATGCCCGATTCAACCACTTATTTAACTTGCTCACCAGATGGTCAGTACTTGTTCGCTCTAGGACGTTATAAACCTAGAGTCAAATGTTACGAACTGTCAAATCTTTCAATGAAGTTTGATCGATGTCTTGACTGTATGCCATATAAAATGGTGTGCCTTAGTGACAACTACTCCAAGTTTGCCTTACTGGAGGAAGAAAGATGGGTTGAAATTCATGCTGCTGGGGGACACCACTTCAAGTTTAGAGTTCCGAAACAAGGTGTGGATTTGGATTATTGTCCTTACACGTGTGATCTTTTTGTTGCCTCATCTCGCAATCATATATACCGAATGGATTTGTCCGAAGGTCGTTTCAAAACATCTCTAGTCTCCCAACGTTTAGAAAACTCTAGTCATGGATTAACGGTATGTAGCTTTGAGAGAAATTATGGTTTGTTACTTGGTGCGTCGACAATAGGGTGTGTTGATGGTTGGGATACTAGAACTTCTGAGCATGTATTTGGTCTGAACGTATGTGAATACGCGCCTGCACCAGAAGATATCCAGAATAAATGGCGATCAACTGCTGTAACTTGCCTGTCATTTAAAGACTCGCTCAACGTCGCAGTAGGCATGGGAGACGGGATGGTATACATATACGACCTTCGTCAAAATCGTAAGCCATGGCACGTCCGGGACACAGAATACAGGGAGCCTATCAAATCCATTCATTTTCATGATGACAAAGTGTTAGCAGCCCTGCGCTACTGCTGTAAGATATGGTCAGTGGATACTGGCAAGATATTTGTTGGTTTCAATATTGGTCCTTCAGATTGTAATTCTATGTATCACTTTCCTAACAGTGGATTACTCATGTTTGCATCAGAGTCTCCCAAGATTTCTACCTACTTTATTCCACTGCTTGGAGAGGCACCTTTCTGGTGCAGTTATTTAGACAGTCTTGTGGTCGAATGCGAACCAGATGTTACAACTATGTATGACGGTTATAAATTCATCACTCGTCAACAGTTAGCAGATTTGGGAATGTCAGAGCTCATTGGAACTCAATTTCTGAGAGCTTACATGCATGGATATTTCATTTCTGCAAATCTGTACAACAAAATACAAGATCATCTAGGGATTAATCAGAAATCCCTTATCCAAACAGTCAAGCTTAACTATCCTGACAATGTACCTAAAGCCTCACGTTCTGAAAATATAATTGCAGAGTTTAACGAAGCCTCAGCCGACCAGCGCTTTTCCAAACTCTCAGATAATCCTAAGCTTACATACAGTACTGTGGATGGCGATTCAGATCTCATACAAATTCATCAAGCAAGATTGGAAAAGAAGCGCAAGCGTAAAGAACTGCGAAAAGAACGAGCTGCTCGAACACAGGCTTTGGTTAATAAAGCCTCTGATGTGCATGTATAAACTTCAAATGTTTTGTATGTAATTGTGTAAATAATCTCTGCAATAAGTTATGTTCTCAAAAATTTTCCGTGTTATTAGTTGTATTTAGTTCGCCTCATATATTTTTCAGCATGAATCGAGGTCGACGTCGTGGTGGTGGTCCGAACTTATCAGGTCTTCGTGATGGTGTGAAACGTCGTCTGTTTGATCCCCACTCTGTTCCTACCAAACCTGATCCTAAGTTCGAGGTCAGCCGTTTGATACCTTTCACCGTCCCTAAGGTTACCATTAACTCATCTTTAAGCGATTCCAGCGCTAACAATAATCCAGACGTAGTAAAAGATGATATCGATAGTTTACAGATAAATTTGGTATGTATAAAATTGCTAGATCACTTCCATGTTCTTGCATGTAATTGTAAAACCTCCAGTTGTTTGTCGGATGTAATATTTATGTTCACATATAAAAATGTATTCTGTCATTCGTGGAGTAGTCTGCTCTCGATACGTGAATTACTCATCTTTGGTTCTTAGTCTCATTGTTACATGGTTGTATGTTCCGTACCAACCTTAAAGTAAATCTGTGCTCACAACTCTGTTATTCATGAGGAGATAGTCTTCAGTTATGTTAGCAAACAACAGTTCTCTTACCCTTTTGATGATTGCAGTTCGTAGTCAAAACTAATTAACAACCCTCCTTTCATTAGTATTGTATGACGGTTATGTTATGACCTGGGAACTGCCTATATTTTAATGTCAGAATGCTTAATGTCGGTGATGTAAACATTGGAAGGACCGATAACACCATGTGGGCTTTCATCATCATTGCTGAAACTGCACGTATTACTCTTTGCTTCAGTAGTCCTTAAACATACGTATAAATAATTAAAATGTCTTCAGATTCAGATATCGGTTCTGGTTTAGCCCATCATTTTTAGATCAAGATTCATCATATAACACGAAGAAAACTATCTCTTAGTTTTATGAATATCTTAGTTCATAATTCAGGGTGACCATCCTCAGCAGTTCATGTGTGCAAACTGTTAGATATTTGTGTTCGAGTGTGCTGTATATTTGTCATAGATTTAAAATCATTGGTCTGTTTAGACAGTCAGATTGGTTAGATACTGGATAATTTGGGAACTAGTTTTATACCTCCTGTTTATCGCCACTATTTAGTTTAGGATTATAGGGTGAACTGGTTGATTTACTTAAGTTCTCATTGTACCCATTCGATTGAATCCATTGTAATTCGTTAGTGACCAGTGACTTTTCAGCAGAGATGTATAAGGCTTGAATATCTTTTATGAGACATCCCGGTATATCAGTGAAGAACTGGATTTAGTGTAGTAGAGAAATTTGGCATTCAGAATTAAAATGGATGAAAAAGTTACAAATAGCTTGTTTAGTAATCATGAGAAGCTTGCTGAGTTCAGGGGACGAACTAAATGAGAATGCTATCATCCACCAAAAGAGATAACTGCTTGTAATCTATAGCAGTTGCACAGAGGTACCCGTATGGGATTTCAGTATATTTAGTAGATTTTAGATTTATTAAATTGCGCGCTTTTTATATGCAGTAAAATCTTAGCTGCTTTTAGTCTAATTGGTGCTTGGTTAGAATTTAACAGACGATAGGACGTTAGGAAACGCTCACTGATTAATATAGCTTAAATGTGTCACTGTCGTAAACAATTCATCGCAATGTAAAGGTATTAGCTGTTTGTTGAAAATCAGTGATGTAATTACATTATATGGCAGTCCCTTTTAATTGATAAAAACACTCCGTGGGGAACACTTGACAGCATTTCAACTGATTTGCTACTTAAGTGAGGTTAATTTATCAGTTCTGGCTTGGCATCAGTCCATTAAGTAATTAACATCTTATTTGAGTCTTAAGCAAAGGCTTTAAATCTGTTGCAGTGTAGTGTATACATATTTCCTTTATCTTTCTCGAAATCTTAGATCTTGGTATTATTCTGTACCTCCTGTTTCTCGACTTACTATTTTCGAATAATCTTTCTACTGTCATTAACACTACCATAATTTCTACGTCTCATGCTAGTAATTTCCTCTTACTGATCTAATGTAATGCTTAAGCTATACTGATGCACATTTATGCTTGCTCAGTCATTCTTTACTGAATGATTGTATTTCGTAGTCCATCAGTTTAGATTTACCTATGGAATGCGTAGTCAAGAAAATCAGTGCATTAAGATTTCTGGTTTTAATCACACACTTCAACTATTCTCAGGGTTAGGAATGAACTAAATAAGTCTTCTACGATGATAAGACGCTGAATGTTCCATTGCCATGTAATAATAACGTACTCATGACCATCCATATACCTAAATCAATTTTTTTGAACTGCTCTCTTACTACTCAGACTATGAGAAACAGAAAAATGATTTGGTTCATATGATTCAGTGGTTAGCTGTTTGGTCGATGTTTATACTTTCTTAAGCGCCTAATGGCAGTCGTATATATTTCGAGTCCGGTCATATTTTGTTAGGACCCTGTACTTTTGATACAGTTGTATTCTGAAATTGTTCTCTATGGTAGGGTTTTGTTGTGCATTATTTTAACATATCGGAGGCTCTTTGCACAAATACGTCTGATTACGGTGTGTAGCTACCTTTTTATCATCGTTAAAAACCAAAAATAAAGTTAAAGTTAGTCAGTTACTCTATTACTTTTGATAGACCGCATTTCTGAGATAACTTTTAAAGAAGTGCTTTAGTGCTGTTTTATTACCCATATCTCTTTGTTTTCGAATGTGAGAATGATTTGATGTTGCCGTATGCTTGTACATATTCTTACCATTGTGTGACATGTTACTTAAGATCGACTCATGTACGCGAAACTAGAAACAATAAAATTAGTGTAGATAGTGTAGGTTTACAAAACATTGGTTTTCATATGGTAGAACCCACAATATCCAAGTACTAACGAAAACTCTTCGATTTCCATTACTAAGTGATCCATTTATCAGTTTGATCCCTTAACTCACTCCATACAGGGTCAGTTCCCAATGCTCTCAACCACTAACAGTATTCGAATTCATCCATCGGTTTTGTACACATGACAGTCTACCAAACGGCTGTTTCAACTAGTCTAGTCAGTAGTTGTGGATGTTGATAATCGTTTTTTAAACACCTTTGGTGACAACCTTGTATTTCATATGTGTGTAAAAGAACTCTTCTAAATATTGCTTTATGATTAGACTTTGATTACTTCTGTATCATAGTTTCTTATAAATTCAGCTACAAACCCAAGACATACTTTGACCACATTTATAAATCTTCAAGAAACCTCTGGAATTCCTTGTTAACTGAAGACTTTTTGTGTTGATTAGCTACGTAAATATCTCACTTAAAATCGAGATTAAAAGTTAAAGAATAAGTGACTTTTAATTGCTAGAATTCTCTGACGTTTGTTTTCTAAGTAACTATGCTCAAATGTTTATGTATTGGTGAGACTTTAAGGAACAGAGCAAATCGTAACTAAAAATTAGTAAACCTTCCATAGAAGTGTACGCATGTTTACTTGTGTAAGTACAATAATTTAGTTATAACGAGACCTTCGGATTATAGATATATTTTATGATTGAAGTATAGTGACAAATTCGATAATGCATTTTAAAATATACTGTGTTATATAAAATTTTGTCTTATCCTGTTAATTTAGTTTGAAATGACGGCCAAAATGGAATCTGCATTTCGTTCTGGTCCATTTTATCACTCAGTTCCAGAGCTATCAGAAGGAATCGATGTATCGTCTTTACTATCCAGTAACAGCTTAAATCTCAGAAAAAAATCACAAAATATGGTATCTCTTTTACATCTTCTGGTCTCTCATGAAATTAATCAGTGGTCTGACGAAGATATGAACATAAAAGAGCCTGAGGATTTGTAAGTTCTCTACTCATAAAACCTAACTGCGATTACACTAAAAATCTTGGTTATTTTTACCAAGTTCATATACCGTCAAATTGATAACGGAAAATTCCAAATACTAGTAACAATAAGTGATATTTTTCGACGTTAAGTTTTTGTTATAGCTTTATAGCACAGTGTTTAAAGCAAACGGTGTTAGGTTAGAGTCTCACTGAACATATCTACATTTACTGGAATTCAGGTAACTTTAGCATTGGCTTGAAGGAAATGCAAATTCGAGATTGTAATGTGATAATTAATACTGAGCAAATCCTCTTGTCCATACTGAGTTGGTAACTAGCGATTAGAATGTTCCACTTTAGAAGTGTTTTCTTTCTAAAATTCACAAAGTTGTAGCCAACTTGTGGCTTGAATATTATCTTTTGTGTTTGAACTTTGATGATGTATATATGAAACTTGATCAGTTATTCTCTCGTACTTACTCAAAAGTAGCTTAGGTATCATGAACAGTTGATTGACATTTGAAAGTTATCAGTCTTATAGTTCCGAACAAGATTTTGTTAATTAAGTTTGATCAATTGAAAGTGTAAGTCTGGTAGTTTATTTAAATTCTGCCGATTAATGGTGCTGCAATATGCAATAAGCTGTGGCATAAATTAAGTTGTGTAGAAATTGTCAGTTAACTGTATAATTAGATCAGTATTTCGAACGAACTAAGGTTATTATTTTGTATTTAGCTGGAAAAAACAAAATACGATCAATTCATTATATTCTGGGAATATTTGATAAAATCTTATTATTGTTTATTTTGGTTTGTTGTTTTGTTCCCACAGTCTTAATAATAATACATCTTGTGATGCTCTGTTCCATTATTACTCTAAAATATCCTGAAAATAATAAAAACTGTAAAGCCTAGATGTCTATGATATATATATATATATATATATATATATATATATATATATATATATATATATAAACAAGTAGTATCTCGCTTACTTTTATCGTACGTATGTCGTTCTCTGGCTTTGTTTATCTTCAGCTATCCCAAAGAACTGATTTCTCGAACCCGAATCAATTTAAAAAGTAGTAGGCGTGCCACGCGCAAATCAAAATTGGCTTCTCGACGTAGTAAGCAGAATTACTGCGATATTGATCAAGTTATAACTGACAGTTTTATCCAACAAGTCACTGAAACTCTCCCAGAAAATGACGGTACGTTGTATTTTTGTTTACATAAAGCGATAAGTTTAAGTTGTCGCTAAAATAGGTTAGTTACACATTTTTCGGTTAGGATTATTCATTGTATGCTTCAAATTCTACATTCACTATATTCCAGAAGTTTTAATGAGTGGAAAAAATAACTTCGGAAATGATTTTGATCTTAATATTAACATATCCAAGACGGCTATGTAGTACCGAAAGTGAAATGTGCTTACAATAAAAAAATTCATTCTTTACCAGTCTTTAGGATTCAACTGTAGCCTCTTATATTTATACTTGATAGTCAGTTCTGATTTTCGATAAAGAGACTTAATCAAAAAGCGTTAAACATGTATTATTCTTTCCAGTATTCTGAAGTAACACTATTAGTGCAGCTAAAAAGCTTGTAACTCATTTTCATTTACATCTGTTAGTCACTCAAATCACCTATAAAATGATTTCATCGCTGATGCAAGACATCGATAACTGAAAAAAATATCAGGTAGTTTATACGAGTCGATAATTCTTGAATGTAGTCGTCCCTGCGACTACATCAACCAACGATGATCTCCCCTTTTCTTCAGTCCCAGCTTTCGTAAAAGGAGTAGTCAAATTTTGAACAGAAGATTTATTTGAATCAATTAAGGAATTGACTTTGGAGACAACTATTACATATCATTATACTTACAATCTCTCTCGAAGTAGGATGAAACAGGACTTGTCAAAATATTAACGAACTAATTCTAATTAAAAAAATTTCGACGGCGGGAATTATGAAGAGTGTGAGGCGTGAGGAATTTCAGTGCACTGAAACAACAAAGTAGTTTGCATTGTAAGCGATTTTAGGAGAATCAGAGTATTTCCGACAATTTATTTTTTAAAGCCCGTTTATAATATATCTATAGATTTTTCTGGATGTAAACTGTTCACCATTTTCAGCTATCAAACCATCATTTTCCCCATAATTCCACCTCCAAGAATGCAGATGTCCACTATTATTTGATATCTTGGTTAAAAGGTATCTCTTCTTAGTTAACTGAACTGCAGAGGTCACTTTTATCTGTTACTACCTAGTACACTACGTGAGATTGTTTCTTTGTTATATGACTCTATATATGTGTTATTAGATGGTCTGTAGTAATGGAATGACTCGGGACATTTAACTTCAAATGCTAAGGGCATTAGGTGATAGATCACTCCTTAATTTACGACTCATAACGACCTCTGTTAGCATGAAACAGTTCTTCATTCTCTAGCTATTTTTGACTTGCTCATGTCCCAAATTCTGATTTCATATACTCAGCTTTGAGCCATACTTTAGTTGTTTGAGGGCTAGCATACTACTTGGCTGCCCAAACCGAAGTAGATAAAGCTGGTTAGTCAGTTGATGAGATTGTAAATCTTCAATGACTGGGATGGTTGGGCTTCGTGTTACGTATTCCTGAACACTGATTACCACGACGCGCAATCCTGACTAGTGTTGGAGGAAGTTGGAACAAAGTTAGGGGCGGCCGAAGGACAACGTGGAACCAGTCTGTGAAGTCATTAACTTCTAGTCTGAGCCATGTTGGTAGATTCAGACTACTTGGTTGTGGTCCACGTGACTATCGTAACCAATGGTTGGAGACTCTGGATGATATTGCTCAGAATCGATCACAGTGGCGTCGGTGTATACACTCTTTGTCTTCCCTTAAACTGTGAGATCAAAATTACTGTATAACTTTCTTTCTACGAACTAATTCTTTCTTCCTGTATTATATCCTTATACACAATCTTTCTTTTATATATTGTTACTATTGAAGTGACTACTATGAATTTGGTATTCACCTTGTTGTGCTAATGAGGTATAGCAACTTCGATTGATGCATATATGTGCGTGGTTCAACCTTGTAGCTGACTGACTGATTGACTACTACCTACCGTTTGATAAACAAGTGCCCTAACTACTATGCTATGACGCTACTCAGTGATTGATCAGTTTAATTATAAGGTGTTTGTATGATAATCATCCATTGATTTAAATAGTCAGGCAATAGTAAACAGGTTAGTAACCCCCAGAAAGTACTGAATAATATGTGACAAAAATAATGATGTCACCAAAAACGCTTAAAAATATTATTATCGGGTAATACTATGCAGTAACTGCTTCTAAACAATTCAGTAATATATATTAATCTTCTAAAATGTAACTATCCCATTTTCGATTTTTGTCATCATTGTAGAAGATGTAGAGAAAATCGATGTAAATAATAGTGAAAATGAAGATGCAGATTCAGAAGATGCTCGGTGGAATGGTGATGTCAATCAAAATGATGAAATTGATGAACTTGATGATGATGAATTTGATAATGATTATTGTCAAGAATATTTCGACAATGGTGAAAAAGATTTTAGTGATGATGGTCTAGGTGGTGATGATGATGGAGGAGGTGCTAAATTTTATGAATAACAAATTTCTTTAAAAAAATTTTTCTCTTTGTTTATATGAAACAATTTATTCTTTATATATAGATGCATGTAAAATAATACTACTTTCACATTGGATTATTTCCAAAAGGTCAATTACGATTGTATATTTCTCGATATTTTCATATGTACCATTTGTAAAAATCAAAAGAGATTTTCAAGAAATCATACATTGACAAACTATCTATATGATTTTATTTTTTTAGTCACAACATGTCGTTATCGACTTGTATAACCTAAATATATACTAAGTACGTTCTAGTGCATTTCCAGGTGTGATGGTCTCAATATTTGTTTTTAAGGACTAAACATCAGTTAATGTGCTACTTTTGGTAACAGTTATGCAGTGAGTTTTGTGCTAGTTAGAAATTTTGTATTCCCAATTCACCTTTTTTTGCAATCAAGTTCGGTGCTTTAATACAATAAGATGCGCACTACTCTTTTTAGCTCATATTCCAATTACATTACTTCAGTCTCTAAATTATACCACTGGGACTGTATTTTTAAAACACTAGATATGATTCATTGTGATATGTGAACTTTACTTATTATAAGCAAGGGACAATAAACTGAAATAAGTTATTTAGTGGTAATACTTGTATGATTGGTAATTTGGAATGAAGAATCTCGTCATACGCTTTTGACAAAGAGTATGAACGAAATTGATTCGTGACACACTTATAACAGTGAAACTGTTCATGAGTATTTATTACAAATACTCATTATTTGACAGGAAACGAATATTTATATTTCAAAAAGGTTTTTGTAGTCTCACAACAATTCTCAACAATTGTTTTATGTTAAAAATTAAATTTAGATATTGGCTTCACATATAAGAGTAACTGTCACAGAAAAAGCCGGTACTACTACTACTACTAATAATAATAATTATTATTATTATTATTTAAACACATAAACATCGGTACAAGGAGGCACCAAATACATATGTGCCACACAAATCATCCGATTTGTATGATGACTGGAAAACTGTCCGGTAGCCCAAATCGAAGCAGGTTTCCATTCAACCGAAGTTTTAAAATGCTTTACATTCGTTTGAAATCAAATGTAAAAAATCACAGTAAATAAGCGTATTCTTCTATTTCGAGATAATATAGCTGAAACTTTTATTTTAATGAAGGAGAATTAATTTAACTACGCTTCCTATCCATAAATAAAATATTATTGCTTTTCTGTAACTAATGTTTTGTTATTTTCAGTAGATTAATGTAGCCCAAAATACTCAATAGTTCTTTAGATTCATTATTTAGTATTTAAAATATGAAAAAGTGGAGATTAATTGTAATCGCATCTTAAATGGTATAAGTAATAATATTTCTAACTTGTTGTGTATTCATTTGGATACTTTGAATAAACTAGTTCAAAATAAATGTTTAATTGGAGATGTAGACTTCCACGGAGAGCTGTCAAAAATATGTGTTTAAATTGATCAATTTAACATTATGAGTTGTAGGCCCCAAAATGCCCTGGTACGGTCAAGAGTGGGGAGAGTCAGCTCTCCCTCTGGAAATGCTCTCACATGGCCGCGTGCATACAACCACTGCCATAGAAGTCCTACTCACTACCTTCTCGCGGCATTACTGTTGTTTACGAAATTGAGAGGACGAGAAGCTAATGTCCGACGCTTCAACCGGTTTTGTGGATATTGAGAATCCACCTTGAAGAGTTGGAAAACCCAGATTCCAAACCAATGGTGCACATGGGCTCCAGGATCCTGAAGGAAAAAATGGCGTATGAACCAATCGTTGGCTACCGGCTACCATTGGACTGCATCTCCTTACGTTGCTCCACTGCCTTGTCAATTAGACCTTTAGGTCAAAGGCTCCGGGCGTGGCCCCCTAAGAAAACTACCTGTTTCGGTCTGGGCACCCGGGTAGTATCCCAGCTCTCACACAAATGGAATGATTTATATGACGCATATCTATTTGGTGCCTCGTTCCAATGTTTATGTGTTTATATAAATTCAGCTGTAGTTAGACATGTAGTTATTTGGCGAATCTGCACATTTTACTGCTTTTGATGACCAAAGAGTATTTTACTGTTTTTATGTCTGTGCACCTAGGATAATTTTTACGTAATTGCAACAACCTTATTTTGGTAGCCAATTAGAAGAGTTTGAAAACGAAGATTATTATGATAATTAAAATTGTCTATTAATGTATAAACGATTGTCTTGATAAATTCATTTTATGTTGTTTGTTTGAATTTTCCCATTGATGTTTAAGACTGTAACTGATCAGTCTCTTAAGACAATCCGCACAGGATGCACATATGCCAATAAGTCACAAACACAATCTAGTTGTTATCAGGACTCAGTAGCTAGGTGGATAACGCGATGGCGTTTGAAGCGAACGATACTGCGTTCGAGTCCCGGGGTGAACAGTAACTCTAGCATGCAGGTACATCCAGGTGACGAGTTCCAAATAGGGCGAAATGCGTGTTCTGGATTCCACTGCTGGCCGTCATCCATCTTTGCTAATAATGATTAACTTAATGGTGAATACTTGTTAATTATACATTGCAAATTATGTATATATTAAGTATAGATTTCTACTATTTTATTTAAAATCTATTGAATTTAAAAATTAACACGCTATACATAAACAATATGTGAATAAACGAAATACACCAACAGGTAATCATTAAATCAATGTTAGAAACGTAGACTAATGTAAAGAGATAAAATAAAATGGTCACTGCTATTAGTTAATGATTTAAATACTAAACACAAATGATAATATCAGATAAATAATTATTCATCTTTCAATAATGACTTGTAACATAATGAGATACTATGGTTTTCCTTATTCTAATCATTGTTTTATGCCTTAAGTCAGTTTTCATAGATTCATTTTAATGTGGCCGTGACAAATTTTTAACGTTTGTTAATCTTCTTGTTTTACTGTGTTCAATGTATTTTCATTACCCCCACTGGTAGTACTAATTCCAATCTGTGAAACCTGGATTTTTGATACTATTGTATTTTGTAATCGTTCCTAAAAGAAAACAAAAAGAAAATAAATCCAGTTAGTAGACATGAGTTTGATATTCTGTTATGAAGTGATCGGTTCAATTAGAGATATTTCCAAATATTAATGGATAAAATTATCTTATTACTACTTTGTTTTAATATGTAACTTATAACATATAACCAAATGAATTCATACAATTATTTCTATTCTCAATAGGAAAAGGATAAAATAGTAAATACAAATAATTTTTGGTAAATAGTAATGGGCAATGTTTTCAAATTTGCACTAGTAGATCCTATTCATTGATTTACGCTTTTTTTCAGCTTTCATAATTTTTGGGTATGTTAAATCAGTGAGTAAAATCTTGTAGTAAGAAATCATATATAAGATGATGCCTTGATGCAGTATGTGATTCATTCATGCATTATATTAATTTTGTATAACTTTTCAGTAATAACATTCGTTTGTATTAATTTAGTGTTATAACTTCGTTAACTAATTTACATCAGTGAATCTGTCTATTCGAATATTGCATCTATCTTCTTTGGCCTTTATAGGATTCATTTTTCTTACAAGGTTTACATTTTGGAGTAGCCAGGAGAAAAAAATGGATGAATATCTGGAGAATCTCAAGATATCAACTTTTAAGAGGATCTTATGTGCTATAAATGGATACTCTCTATTCGTTTTTTTCTTCAGGAACTAACATTGAGCTATTATAATCGTAGATAACACATTAAAGTCGTGCACGTGGGAATTTATAATTTTGTTTCTTGACAGGAACTGAATATATTACACAACACTAAGTTGAACCATTTACTAGAGGTCTAATGCTATAAACCATTATTGACAGATTAGTTTTAGTCAGAAAGAAGCTCGAAATCGTGAAATAGTTTCTACTTAGCTGTGTGACATCCGAAAATTCATAGTAATTTGTTGACTAAAGATGATACTCATCAATTGATAATCGCTATGGTATCGTTTATTTTGTGATATTAAACTATTTAGACACGAATCAAGTTTCCAAATGAAACTATATAGAGGACAAACTTCGTGTGATCCGCAGTACTTTTTTAGAAGCTAACTAATCATCAAATCAGGTACCATGTTGCTAAAAAATCTTAGATAATTAACCGTCATGCTCTGGGAGTAATTTAGTCAGATGATGAATTTCCAAACTAGATTTCTTAGCACGTATTTATCCGGGTTTATGGATGGAACGCATTACATCAGACAATTACAATAAATAGAAATCTATAAAATGAAGGGATTCGAACCCGAATCTCTAGGAACGGTGGTTTAGTTGGTGGCCAGTCAATCGTCAAGATTCAACTACCAATCTGATTTACTGTTATTAAACATGTGCTAATTTTCTACAAAATAAGTGTAGTTGAAAGCAATATGAACTGTGAATATTTTCAAACCAAACATCACTTTGAGATTCTGGCTTCATTTTATCTAGTTGTACCATTGTCTTTACTGTATTTTCTAACCCTGTATTTGATAAATAAATTTTGAGTCTCATATCTAGACAGTTACCTTTGAAGTTTTTTATTTGACTCATCTGTAGACTAATTCTAAGGTTTTATATCTTCAAGAGAGTTCATGCTTTGTCACTCTGCTCACTACAGTTTTCAGATTCACCAATTCTCGGCTCTTTTCTTAAGCACAGAAAATCTATCGACAGTAATATTGTGGTCATAATTAATATATATATTCAAATGGAACCAGTGAGTTATACAGTTGTTCTTCAGCTTCGATTTGCAAGTGTCTCTATGATTCAATGTCTAAATCATAACTAGATACTATTTCATTTGTTTATCTATTTTGAAAATCGATTTTCTGGTTCGTATATATAAAACGTATTTACAAATATACATATATATACTCTGCTGTTAATGGTTTTCTCACATGAAGTACGAATTTTTATGAATATTTCACATCATTTTGTAAGATCTCCAAAAATGTTTAACCAATGGACGTTAAACACACACACACACACGAAAATCATATTTATCAACTACCATTTCGTTAAGGTACTTTCAATATCATTCAAGAAAATAAATATAAGACATTAGGTGGAAAAGAAAAATAAATTAAGCTATAAACTGTAGTGATATATATTTGTCAGTATCTTTTCGGATGACTAAGAAAATTTTCTATGTTGAAATAGTTAGAATTGAAAAAACGCTCTATTTCGGAAACAATTATTTTCTGAGTAGTTCATGCATGAAGTGTAACAGAGTATCACAAACATTTATAGAATGAAATAGAACAAAACAAAATTCATTTCTATTCTACTAAATATGAATGGTTTATCTCATACCCTACATGTTTATTCACTTTTATTCTTACTGTGAAATGTTGGAGTAAATTTTATCCACATTAAATACGAGAAGAATGGAGATAAAGTTAATTATATATTTTATACTGAGAACCCATTACAGATTCTTACATGTAACTTGATGTATGTGTACAAGACCTGGCTTAAACTGAGTGAGTTGGTAATTTTTGGGAAGCTTGTGAAGATTGTCCGTTGTATAATTTTAATTATATATTGACTTTACTAGTGAAGTTTTGGAAACCAGAAAGCATTGACTAGCTGTATTGTGCTAGTACTAGATTCCTCAGTCGGAGATCGAACAGGTGCTTAGTACTAACTGATTTTCAATGGTTTTCTAGCTAAAGTTAATCTGTGATGTATAATAATCAGATAATTATTTGCTAGAGGTTTTTTGTGATCATTCGGTATTAAAGAAGTCATAAAGTTAGTTGTATGAACTCTAAGGAAATTAATTAACATCTTGGTACTAACTAGGTAAATTAAACGATAGATATACACCAGTTAGATTGGTCACTTTGAGGAACATGTTGATCATATGGAATCACTGATCAGTTATATAAGAAACAATTCTCAATTTTTTTCCATCAGTTTTGTCTGTCCTTAAATAACTTTTGAACACTTTCTGATCATTCAGTTCCCTATTTTCATTCCAATGTTTTAAAAATCAACTGATCAGCTGAAAGGCATTGACCCGTGATAATACAAATCAATAATCAGCTACCTGACTAATCATCCCACGATAAACTACTAAGACTAAAAACTGAAGCTAAACATTCTCTCACATTCACTGAGTGGAGGGAAATTAATTTTTTGTGAACCTTTGAACCTAATTTTACCACATCTTGCTACTCACACCGCTTTTAACTGTTTAAATTATCTACAGATAACTTACTGTCATAAAATTATCGTTATTTGTATTAACACCGGATCAAAACTTTCAGGGAAGTAATTTAAAATTGATATGATTTACTTTAAATAAATCCAATGCCAATTATATAGCAAATATATGATTACTGTACTTTTTGTGAAATCAAGGAGGTAATAAGTCTGTGGGCTAAAGATTTGAAGTAAAGAAAATTGCTCATTCATTTCATCAAGATTTCAATAACAGTCAGTTAATGTGAGATTATCAGAAAGGATATCAGTATATACTTTCCCGTTCAATAATACTATTTTAACAACAAAACTGATAACCTTTCTCATCTTATTTACGGTTAATATTGTCTGTTATATATATTATGTATCAGTGCAAATGTCTCTGTCAGCAACTTAAGAGAATTCAGGTAATATTATGAATCCATACTACCCTACTTCAAGTGTTATTCTTGATATATTCAAATTCATTAAGAGATCGAATTATAAGAAATATTCAGCAACTGAATTCCAAACGAAACAATTAGATGCATTACTCAAAATTGGACATTTTTTATTCAAATAATCAATGTTTTAACAATTGTTCTGTTTCAAATAGTCTATTAACAGTCGTTCAGTGTATTGTAATTCTTAGAGTACATTTCGAAGACTCTGAGTTTATCAAAAAGGGAGTGATGCTATTTTCTTCTTATTGTAAAAACAATGAAATTCCGATTTATATATTATATAAAGATGGATTCATCAATGTTGCCATTTCTTCACTTAATAATTCAACCTCTAACGAAAACATTAATCCAAGTTCTGTCTGCTAACAATCTGAAGTGATAAGTTTAAAGGGAAATTGAATTTTCTCGTATATTTTATTATGTAGTACAATTATAATTTAGATCAGAATTATTCTGTTTATGGCTCATCGAAACAATTGAATGAATAGAGAAATCTGGAAATCAACCTTTCTTTTTATTGGAGTAACTTCAAACATTTTATTTACCCAATTTTAAAACAAATATCAAACAGAATATTGTCATTTGATCTAACCTAGAATTCTTATTCATCTTTACATTAATTAAAATCAATCAGTTCAAGGTTGTATTTTTTAAGAAAACATATCAAAATCAGTATAAGTACATTTAACTGAAAGTCTATAGTGATTCAGAAACATAAACTGAATTTCATTTTTACAAAGGTCCTACCAAACGATCCTTCATAATTTCGAACATTATTTATTCTAGAAGCGGATAAAAGTCCAATGAGATGAACAACTGTTTGGTAAAAATTGGTTAAATATATATATGGTATCCATATTCTCTACTACTATTGGGTTAAACATTGGGGAAAGTTTATCGCGCCTTGATATAGATAAGCATTACCACTTCTGACTGATAAGTTATAATGGCTAACTTCGAATTTTTTAGGAAGAAAGAAATACTGTTTTATTTTTGAACCAAAAATATTGATGTGCAAGATGAAGAGAAAAGTCACATTGCGAAACTTCATCCTAAAAGTAATTTGTCTTCAACACTATCTATTTCGCAAATCCAACCAAATTTTATACAAACCTTCATCCACATTTAAACGGATAGCTTCCCTGAAATTGACGACCGAATATTCAGAAATCACATGCGTGAAATCATGTTTATAAGAATTATAGTTAATAAAACATTGGAAGTTATTGATTCCAGTAGCTGAGATACTAAGAAATAGAAATTTATATCAAGTGTAACACTTTTATAAAAATTATTACTTCAATACAACCATGCTTGAAGATTATGCATTCATTCGGTCATCTATTTATGTCCATCTGAAA